GTGGAGGGTTGACGAAGGAGAGTAAGACTCTAAACTAGGTGGATTGACATGGTGACTGCTGCAATGAGCTCTTGTGTGTCAGGAAGTGTGAGGATGGTGCAGGACAGGACTAGGTTCAGATCTTTTGTTCATAGGGTTGCTATAAGTCATACTTGACTCGAAGGCACCTTAACAACAATATATATCTTGTTTGTATGTATATATAATATGGATAATAAGGAGCATCAAAATTATACTCAATTTATAAAGCAGGTCTGTAGAGTTCTCACTGAGATAATTATCATTTTACTGCCTTAGCTACATCTGTTGAATAATAAATGTTTTGTTGATCAGTTCCCAGTTAAATTTTTTTACTATGCTAATTCCATGATCTGAACCATATGAAAATCATTCCAAATAAAATGTTTCTGTTATTTGTTTTGTTTCTAGATTTGCGGTATCGTGTTACACTAGATTCACAAAGACATATATCACGAAGTTTTTTCTCTGGAACTCAAGAAAGAAAGATTCAAAGAAACATCATAGTCAAAAACTCAAAATGCACTGAGCTCTCCTTCTACATGTTGGCAAGTAAATCATATATTTTAGCTGCCTTATTCCAAATCAATAACAACACACAGCTATCTTAGCAAGCCAATCAAAATCTTTCTTTTTTTTAATCATTATTATTAATTTTAATGAACATTTACAGATATTCTGCATTTCCATTCATTCATTCATTGTTGCACTTTTCTCCCTGTCCACCCCTCCCCTCAAGTTTGTTGTTCTCTTTGAAAATTAAAAGAAAATTATTTCATTGTTATGCAATCTCTCTTCCCAAGTCCACTCCACTATGAAGCCTTCGTTCTGATTCCTGTCAAGACAATAATACATAATCACATATCCCTTTTAAACAATTTTCTCTCTCATCTGTTTCAATGTAGTATACATAATTCATCTCATCTTTCTCAGTCTCCCCCCCAACCCCTGTGACAGTCCCATTTTACAACAGTGGCACTATGGAGTATTTGTCCTTTTGTGACTGGGATATTTCACTCAGCATAATGTCCTCCAGGGTCATCCATTTTGAATAATATTTCATGAGTTCCTTGTTTTCCAGTGTGGCATAGTATTCCAGTGTGTGAATTTACCAAAGCTTTTCTATCCATTTTTTTGTTGATGAGCACTTAGGTTGTTTCCAATTCTTTGCTATTGTGAACAAAGCTGCGATAAACATGGGTGTGTGGTAATCTTTCTGTCTTAATACAAAGCACATAGAACAAAATTTTGTCAGTTTACTTATATAATGGGTCTGATCGTTTAATTTCCAAATACATTTCAGGAAACTATCTTTAGTTTTCTATGCTGTACTTCAAACATTAATATACTGTAGAATAATAAAATGTGCAATGGTTATATTACTAGTAGACCTGACTTCATTCATGTGTCCTTCCAAGTTAAAAAACCTCATCCAAGTTTGTTTTAGAGCCTTCATTTTGAAAATATGGATAATACATGGTCAATTATCCCACAAGCAGACTATTAGGGTACCTACTTTTTGGCATATCTTCTTGCCCATAAATGTTGCTATTTGGCTTTATATTGAAACAAAGAAATCTTATATTTTCTGTCATCTGTAGACTTTTCCTTTTTTGTTTCTTTCAATTTTATTTAACAAGTAAGCCTTGGAAAAGAAATGTTTACTCAGTAGAGATTAATGGCGAATTAATTTGAGCTCTAACAAATATATTTTACTGACTTACTTTGTACATGAAGAATTATTTTCCATTAAGTGCAAGCATTTTTATCATTAACACTTTGTTTTAAATTTCTACATTGTACTTAAAAATAACAACAGCAAATCACACAGAAAGAAGATAGGAGGAAACAGTGACTCAGTCACTTATGAGTGAGACATCAACATAATTTGGAGTTTTAAATGGGACAGGCCAGTTTCCTCATTTTCTAGTTTGTGTATTCTATATGTATTCGTGGTCTAGATTCTTAAGATTGTGGTAAAGAGGAGGGAAAAGTACAAAATGCATATCCCGGTACACCACACTTATTCTCCACAGTGATTTTTGTGTCAACAATTCCCAGGTACTTATCAAAATAATGTCATCTCTCAACCCTGTGATAAATCTATGATTGGCAAGAAAATAAAACCAAAATATTTCCTCCTATTTTGTAAATAAGAAATTAATGTTTCAGAGTTAGAACTTAGAGAACATTTCAGACCTAAAACACTGCCTCTAACCTGCTGAAAACTCACCGCAGTTGATAATGGTCCCTAAACTCAATATTTAACCAAGATATAGATTGTTATTGTGCACAGCAGTGTCAGAACTGATTCATAGCTGAACCTATGGCAGGTTTTCAGAGGCATTTAATCACAAGGGAGGATGTTGCCCATCTTTCTCCTGTGGAGCCCCTCGTGGCCTTGAACCATGTGCCTTTGGGGTATGGCCATGTGCACAGCTTCTTGCCACTAGGTCACCAGAGCTTCTTAAGATGTATATATGAATACAAAAAGAAATTGACTCATTTTAAAATTTTCTAAGTTATTTTATATTAAAATGAATACTTTGAACATTTTTTCCTACAGTCAAGAGACTCAGGCTCATATTCTAGCTTTCCCACAATGCATAGTAGAGTGGACCATGGACTTGGGCTTGGATTATATAACAATGAAAGATTTTATTTTTTTTTTTCCTTTTCAAAGAGAAAAGCGAATTGGAGGGAGGGATGGGCAGGGATGAAAATGTGCAACGATGAATGAATGGGGAAAAATTAAATGAGAAGAATATACTGTAAAAAAAAAAGTGTGATTTAGAGGCTCAGTTTTCCCTCTGAAAAGAGCTAACATAATTATTCAACTTTGAGACTCATTGAGAGAATTAGAATTAATATGCATAAAACTCATAATACTGGGCAGTCAATAAATTATAGCTGTTATTGATTGTAATCTTAACAATGTTAATCATTAACATAATCTAGGTATCATTTCTTATTTATAAGATCCCTACAGCTCATTATTTTTAATGAAATGTAGCTCAGTTCAAAGAAAGCTTGCCCAATTGGAGTTGGGAGAATTTTGAAAAATATCACATAGCAGATTTTAGGTTGAATTCTCAAGAGAAATGATATAGTTTTGGAAATAGCTTAGAGTGGTGGTCCTGATACGGCAAAGGATCACACGAGTTACTGCTCTTGTGTACCCCTCTCAGGGGATGTTGGTGAGTCAGCTGTCCGTGATCTGAAGCCTGTACGGTTCAATTGTTTGCTTTGTCAGAGAAGAATGATAGCTCTCTCTGCAGTGAGATCTGATGAGACCATAAATCAGCTTAGATGTGAAAGAACGCTTCTGTAAGCTGACCATAAACTTAACCACAGGGAGAAAGGAGTGAACCATAACAAGGTCACAGCATGCAGTAAAACTGATTCAATAATATATTTTACATCTCAACCTCTAGGACAAGCATGACTTTCGGGACTCTGTGAGGATAACTTTGGATTTTAATCTTACTGATCCAGAAAATGGACCTGTTCTTGATGACTCTCTACCAAACTCAGTACATGAATATGTAAGTCTAAAAATCAGAACACTTATTTGTGAATATATTAGGAAAACATATACACACATTCCTAAACCAATTGCATTTAAGGGGAATAAAAATTACAACATTAAAATAATTGAACTCTTTTCTTTTTCCCCCCAATTTTTATAATTTCCTGTTGTTGACATCTAAGGGATTAATAAATTACATCTATCTTTAGCTTGTCCAAATTCAGGAAGAGTAAAAATAAAAACACAGAAGTAAATCAGTTGCAAATTAAATTCTTTGTTACTAACAAAGGCGGAAGACACGGTTTCGGGATGTGGCAGTCCTGAGGATCCCTTAGTATACCACAGATTTAAGTGACAGTTAACCAACCTGGTTAATCTCAACTAAATTTTAATTTTTTTTCTATGACACTTTTAGATTCCTTTTGCCAAAGATTGTGGAAACAAGGAAAAATGTATCTCAGACCTTAGCTTAGATGTAACCACAATAGAAAAGAACCTGTTGATGGTCAAGTCCCACAGTGATAAGTTGAATGTTAGCCTGAAAATAAAAAATAAAAAGGACAGTGCGTATAACACCAGGACAACTGTGCACTATTCACCAAATCTAATTTTCTCAGGAATTGAGGTAAGCATTTGGTTTTTCAATCATATCTCTTCCTAACAGTAATTTTTAAAGTTAATTTTCATAGTACAGAACTAATTTCTATTACATTGATTCTATTTCTGTGTGTGTATTTTTTTTTTCTTTCTACAACTAAAAATGCCATCTCAAAAATGGAAAGTATTGAGAGAGTGTTGATTTGAGATGCTTGGTAATAATGAAAACTTGGAAGCAAGAGTGGCATCCACTTCCTAAACAACATGCCTCCAGAAACTCTATGAACTTTGATAAATGTTGATAGTTGTAGAGGGGCTTCAGGCTTTTTGTTCATAGGGTTATCATGAGTTGTGCTTGACTCAAAAGCAATCAACAACGGTGGTGAAAGCACCAAATTTTCCTTTTATTCATTTGTCTTTTTTCCTATGTCTCTTCTTGGATTCAGTATGAAAAAGAATTAGTAATACATTAAAACTGTGTTTCACAGAATTCATAAGCAGTTGACATTTACACTAAAGCAAATGTAACATATAAATTAAAAACCATTTAACTGAAGTGTAGAGAGAGAGCAGTATAAGTGTTGGACAGAATTTACATACAGAAAAATAGAAATATCATTTTCCTCTGTTTTCCTCTTTCTGCTCAAAGTACATGGGCAAGATTTGTCTTAGTTGTTTTCACTTATTCATAAAAGAAGAATTTTGTCATTTGACACATACCATACATTTCTGTAGGATAACTATGCCAGGCATAAATGTTGTTGTTAGATGCTGTCAAGTCAAGTGTGACTCATAGTGACCTTAACGGACAACAGATCTGAACCCTGTCCTAGCCTGTGCCGTTCACATCAGCTCTAATGTCCTTGAGCCCATTGACGTAGTTACTGTGTCAGTCCATCTCATTGAGAGCCTTCCTCTTTTCCACCTTGCCAAGCATGATTTCCTCTTTCAAGGAACAGCCGCTCCTAGAAACATGCCCAAGTGTGTGAGACACAGCTTTGTCATTCTTGCCACCAAGGAGCACTCTGATTGCACTTTTTCTAAGCATTAAATAGCATTCATGTATTTAAACATTTGTTTTATTCTAATATGTGAATTAAACTCCTTGAGAAAAAAATTTCAAACGTATTTATATGACTTAATCATCAACTTGATTCATATTAAGAGGATTTATACTCAAAATATAATTATATAATTATACAGCATATCATTATATTATGAGTGCAATTACTGTTAATATGAATCATTAAAAATCCATTGTCCAGTTACTGTAAATTTAAAAATTCCATTGTATTTTCTTTTCATTTATTAAGACATTGTTTATGGGCATGGTGACTAAATTAGATGTGAAATATTGTTATATATTACTTCCACATATTTTTATTTAATCAAGACTATTAATTTAAAATGCAAATGTGCTAGAAAGCATCAGGAAAATATTGACACTAAATTTTTCTCTGGAAAAGGGATAAGACTGAAAATCAATATCTGTATTCTCTTTCAGCTAATAGCCTTGGCAGAGACAAACCCATAAAATCAACAAAGCATTTTCTCTGTTGTTGTTGTTGCTGTTAGCTGCCATCGAGTCGTAGACAACTCATAGCGACCCTATGAACGGAAGACCTGAGCATTGTTCACAGAGTTTCCGGAGGCAAGCCATTTCGGAAATGGATGCCACTCCTGCTTCCAAGCTTGTTTTAATCAGGGAGCTCCACCAGACACTGTCCGTCATGGGTAACCATTATCGCATTTGGCACATCAGTGTCACAATGTTCAGCATCACAGCAACCACGAATTACCTCTGTACAGAAATGCACAGACCAGTCCTATAATAACCAGTTTTTCTTGAGTTCTGTTGTACACCAGGCACTATTCTAGTGTTCCACTTATTTCATTCTCATTAATCCTTTTATAAATAGATATCACTATATTACAGAAGTTCTAAAATAGCCCTTACTTCACATTTTTTTTTTGTAATTATAATTCACAACTTGGGGATATAGTTGTATAACTGGTCTTATTTTTTTCTTTTTTTGTTAACATAAAATAACATATTTCATGAGCCCAGGAATGATCTCAGTTGATAGAAAATCAGGCCCAGAATGATGGGGAATCTTGACAAGGAAAAAAACTAAATGTGGTAGAGTCAAGATTTAAATCCTAGTGATTCTAGTTTAAGGAGCCCTCGTGGAACAGTAGTTAAGGTTGAGTTACTGAAGGGTTTGCAGTTCAAAACTATCATCCACTTCATGGGATAAAGCTTGTCACAACTTGTTATGTAGAGATTACAGGAAACTCTGTGAAGCTTATGTCTCTTTTATAGGACACTTGACTCAACTCAGAATTCAATTCATTGCCGTTGGGTTGGAACCAACCCGTAGCTGACTTTCCTGTGGGTTTACCAAGGCTGTATGTAAATCATACCAGAGGAGATAGTCCCTCTTTCTCCCAAGAAGCCATGGGTGGAGATGAACTGCTAGAGAGTCTGGCTTGGGCTTTGGCACACCACCGCACAGGCTACACCACAAGAACTCCGTAGAGTCATTAGGAATCCAAATTGACTTGAAGTCAACAAGAGATTCCAGTTTAGAGCTCCTATTTATATGCACCGCATTAAACTTCTCCACTGACATTCACTGTTAGCATATATGTAGACCCATCCCTCCAACTACAATAAGCTCCTTGAAAAGTATGTGTTCCTGATGTACAGTGGAGGATTTACAGGGTCGCTATGAGTCGCAAACGACTCAACGGCACATAACAACAACAACAGCAACAACAACAACAACAACAATATTATTTGCTTGGCCTTTCAGTCATGCTTAGCCTAACATTGGATTTGGATTTCTACAGGCTGTCAGACATGTAATACCAGGATACTGTGACTCTCAACTAAACAAAGAAACTAGTTTGCACAAAGCACAACCGGGAACATTCTAAAAAAAGTGATGCTAAATAGGCACTTTGCTTGTTTGCTTTCTGTAACAATAATGGTTACCATGGTGCACAGTGTTTGGTGGAGCTTCCCGATTAAAACACGTTTGGAAGCAGGAGTGGCATCCACTTCCAAAATAGCTTGCCTCTGGGAACTCCATGAACTTAGAGAAATGATGAAAGTTATACAAATGTTCAGGTCTTTCATTCATAGGGTCGCTATGAGTCTTCTACCACTCAATGGCACTTAAGAAAAACAACAACTTGTTTGCTTTAATTCGTTCTTACTTTTCTTTCTAGGGTATTCAGAAAGACAGTTGTGAATCTAATCGTAATATCACATGTAAAGTTGGATATCCTTTCCTGAAAAGAGGAGAAGAGGTGGGTAGACCATACACACTAAATATATGTGGCAGTACGGATATGAAAATAGCATTCACAAATGCAAATATATAAATTTTCTTAATAGTAGTTTCTGGTGGCCTAGTTGGTAAGAGGTTGTGCTGCCAACTCATATGCACATGGTTCTAATCCATCAGTTACTCCACGGAAGTAAAAGGGACAACCTCCTCTAGGAGTCAGTTCTAACTCAACAGCACCTAACAGTAAAAACAAAAATCATAATTTAGGATGAGTAGATGAAGAATGTTGAGTTCAAAGGTCTAATCACTTGAAATCAAAAGGCAATTATTTTGAGGGTCAAACTTAAACACGAACATGAAAAATTATGCTAGATAATTTGTGGTATAAAATGGAGCTGTTGTTGTTATGTGACGTCGAACATTTGCAACTCATAGCAATCCTGTGTACAACAGCTCTGAAACCTGCTCTATCCTGAGCCAACCTCATTATCTCGGACACACCTTCCCCCACTACTAACCTAGTCACTGAGTCAATCCATCTCATCCAGGGTCTTCCTCTCTCACGCAGTCCCTCCACCCTTCCAAGCATGATGTCTCCCTCCAATGACTGGTCTCTCCTTGCAACATGCCCAGACTATGTCAGACGGAGCTTCAAAATCCTTGCCTCTAAGGAGCAGCCTGGTTTCACCCTTTCCAGGATGAACCTGTTTGTTCTTCTACCAGTCTATAGTATATTCAATACTCTAACACCACAACTCAAAGGCCTTGTTTCTTCTTCTATCATCCTTAGTCATTGTTCAGCTCTCTGAGGCATAGCAAGTAATTGCTAAGACCATGGTCTGTTTCGGGTGCACCTTAGTCTCTAGATTGGCATTGCTCTTCAGTATGCTGGAGAGGTCCCTGACAGCAGATTTTCCCAAATAGTGTTTTGATATTTTGGCCGCTAGTACCAAGAGTACTGATTATAGAGCCAAGCAAGCTGAAGCTGTTGACAGTCTCAATCTCTTCTCCATCTTGCATGATGCTGCCAATTGGCTCAGTGGTGAGAATGTTTTCTTGACATTGAGCTTCAGTCTATATTTAAGGCTGCAATCCTTGACCTTCTACAGCAAACCCCTCAGGTCCTTCTTTCTAATAACGAGTGATCTCCTTTATAGTAGGATTTTCAAGACACTAGGAAAAAGAAATGCTCTTCTGAACAAATTGGTATGGAATATCTTTTACTTGTTAACAGCTTCATTAAGTGAGAATTATTATAGCATGCACGTATTCATTTAAAGAATTGTAATTTGTTTGCTATTGACATAAAATTATATAGCTATCATCAAAATAAGTTTTAGAATATTTTCATTACCCCAAAAGGAATGCTGTACCACTATCAGTCACTCCCTGTTTTCCCCTACTGTGTCTCTTCCTAACACCAAAAGTCCACTTTTATCATCCAGTCAATTTTGACTCATGGTATAGGGTTACTCCATCTGAGTAGAGTATCTAATGGATTCAAACATCTGACCTTTTGCTTAGCAGCTCAACACATAGCACCATATGCCACCAGGACTATGAAAGAAATACTTTCAGTCTCTTTTGTTGTTCTTGTTGTTGTTATGTGCTATGCATAACAACACTATGTATAGCAGCTCTGAACCCTTTCCTATCCTGAGCTAGTCTCACTAATTCTGTCCGGCACACTAACTCCCATTGTCCCAGTTACTGTATCAATCCATTTCATCCAAGGTCTCACACTCCTTTACTGTCCTTCTACCCTCCAGAGCATTATGTTCTTCTGCAAGGACCTCTTGGCCATGTGCCCAAAGTATGTGAGACGGAGCTTCAAAATACTAGCCTCCAAGGAGAGACTTGGTTTTACCCTTTCCAAGACAGACCTATTGGTTTTCTTGGCAGTCTATGCTACGTTCAAGACTCTTCTTCAGCACCACAACTCAAAGTTGTCAATTCTTCTTCTGTCATCCTTTAGTCATTGTCCAACTCTCTCAAACATAACAAGTAATTGCAAAGATTATGGCCTGGAATAGGCACACCTTAGTCTCTAGATTGACATCGTTGCTTTTCAGCACTCTGGAGAGTTCCCCGACAGTGGACTTTCCCAATGCAATTCGTCTTTTGATTTCCTGACTACTGGTATTAAGAGTGTTGACTGGGGAGCCCAGCAAGCTGTAATTGTTAGCAACTCAATCTATTTAGATATGTTTGTTCTGGACACTTAACCTGAATACAAAATGTGGATTTTTGTCATGGCTTTTTTCCTGTAGCACAGCATTTTATCTTGAAGCATATCACAGTATTTCACCCCTTTTGTATTGATGAATAATATTGCATCATATGGAGCCCTTGTATCCTAGTGGTAAAAAGCTGTGCTACAATTCCAAAAGCATGCAGATTGAATATGCCAGCTGCTCTGGAGGAGAAGATTGCGCAATCTCCTCCTATGCAATTTACCACCTCTGAAAGCCTGCTGGACAGTCAGCTATGGCTCAGTTCTGGCTTAATAACACAATCCAATAGCATAGACATGTCACATTTTATTTCACACCCATTTGCAACTGATAATATTTGGTTGGGTTTTTTTTCACTTTTGGATACTATTAATAATACTGCTTTAAATGTCCATATATGGGTTTTATATAGGGTTATCGGAGGCCAGCTATTTCAGAAGTGGATGGCCAATCCTTCTTCCTAGTCTGTCTTAATCTGAATGTTCATATTTAGAGAAGTATCAGACAGGCCAGCATTTTACAGAAAAGTGAAAGATATAACAAACTGTGGCTGACTCTGAGAAGAATGGGAATCCCAGAATACTTGATCATACTAATGTGAAACCTATA